CAGAGTCAGGACTGGGACCAATGAAAGCAGAAGACTTGAAAGTCAGTACTAATTAGGGCTTCATCCCAACATTCTGCTGTTAGCCAAATATGTCACGTAATTCCACACAGCCATGCCTTTGCTCAGGCCATTTACTCTACCAGGAATGCTAATCCTTCCTTCTTTCTTCCCACGTCCTCATAAACACATGTTCTTCTTTTAAGACATACCCTAAACACTACTTCCATTATAAATACTCTCCTTTTCTTTTTGTCTTCTTTTTCTGGAGACAGAGTTTTGCTCTGTCGCCCAGACTGGAGTGCAGTGGTGAGATCTGGGCTCACTGCAATCTCTGCCTTCCAGGTTCAAGTGATTGTCGTGCCTCAGCCTCCTAAGTAGCTGGAATTACAGGACTGTGCCATCACACTCGCCTAAGTTTTTTAATTTTTAGTAGAGACGGGGTTTCACCTTGTTGGCCAGGCTGGTCTTAAACTCCTGACCTCAGGTGATCGGTCCGCCTCAGCCTCCCCAAGTGCTGGGATTACAGGTGTGAGCCACTACCCCCCGTCTGTAAAATAACCATTTTTTTCTAGATTATAAACTGTAAAGATAAAGGAACAAATGTAAAAATAAAGGACAAAAGAGCCTGCTCTTGCTGTGGCTTGGTCATAATTTTCTGGAAAGAGCCACTGACAAACAAGGTCAACGTAGAAAAGGGACTGAAAGAAAAGATATGCAGGCACTGCTAGGCCCTCTCCGGTTGAGAAGCATCTGACTGACCGAATCTCTGGCTTGCACGTCCTTCATTTCTCCTAAATACTTTGGAGTGGTGGGCATGAGTATGTGCACCAAATCCCTGCATCATCCAGTCTATGTGCAGCACCGGTGTGTACAAAGGAACAGAACCGGAGCCTCTCCTACAACAAGCCCTCATCAGCATCCTGCGCCACCTCGCCTCAGGGTTCAACAGGTGTTTAGTTGCAGGGATGGACCCAGTCTTGGTAAAACCACCGCCTGCTAAAGAAGATACAACCAAGGCCGGGAGGCAAGAAAATAAACTAGAGGGACGGGGACATTTTATAACCAGCTGCAAAGGGAGAATGTTTAGGGAGGCAAATAAAAGCAGCACATTTCGATGAGCTTCATTTAATTTATATTTAGCATTCTCATTCTCAGTAATTGAATGCATTATTTATTTTGGCCAGCAATTGCTGCCTGTGGCTTTCAGGAGAAAAATAATAGGCTTTTAAGGTTTAGCACCACAGCATTTAGAGACTCGAGTAAAAATCAGCAGATAAATTATTAAACACGAAGCGGACTCCACATTCCCACTCTCCAGCAGTAAAGTGACAGGGGAGGCAGACGAGGAGCCCAGAGTCCTGGCACCGAGGGCGCTGTCTTTATCCATGCACAGTGTATGGGGCTGTCCTTACACTGACTGTCCCTCTGTGGGGACAAAGGACGTGATAGGAAGTACAACAGGCAGAAACTACTCACAGCTGTCCTTCAACAGTTCTTGGGAGCACCAAATCTTTGATGAGGGGGATAGCTTTATCCAGGTAGAGAATTTTTGTTTTGCTTTTTCAAAAAAAATGACTATGAAGCCCTATATGGGATCTAATCATAAATTTCCCGAGATCCACAACATTCAAATCCATGGTCCTGATTTTATAACAGGGGAAGGAGAAAGATTGAGGCTTCCAAAGCCTCTACTTGCGGTTCTGGTAAGTGATGTCATAGCTTTGGTATCACAGCTCACAGTTTGTTGCTAATATTGCAGGGAAAAACAACTCAGGGGTGCCTACCTGGGTCCACCGTTCCTGAGCTTTTAAAGAAGGAACTCACTTACAAGCAGGTTTAAAATTTCTAACACCCAAGGAAGCATCTTCTAATTTTCATCCTGTACATCACTAGGGTTTTGGTGATGACTGTTAATTTTTGTTTCTCACTAACCCTTTGCTCTTTATTAATTATTTAAGACAGAGTCTTGCTCTGTTTCCCAGGTGGTGCAATCTCAGCTCACTGCAACCTCCACCTCCCAGGTTCAAGCGATTGTTGTGCCTTAGCTTCCCAATAACCCATCATTCTCACCCAGGCAAGCACTGGGAGAAAGTTCCATGGTGACCTACACACAGCGAAGACATGTGCCTGTCCTAGTGGGGAGAGAGGGTGTGGCAGGTAATAAGCAAGTAAGCAAACACATTAAGAAAGCGTCAGCTTGTGGAATGAGGAATGATGATAATGACGATGATGCTGTAGAGGTGACAGAGTAGGGGGGTGGCTTCTCTAGCTATAGTGACCAGCAGAGGCCTCTGTTAGGAGCTGTGGCTTGTTCTCACCATCTGCCTTGTAATTAAAAAAAAAAAAAATACAACTATCTGGGGAAAGATCATTGTAGAAAGAGGGAACAAAACTACAAAGGCTCTGAACTAGGAGACAACTTAGTATGTTCAAAGAACAGAAGCGGGCCTGTGTGGCGATGAGGATGGAGGCAGGCGGGCACCAGCTCACAGGGGAACTCAAGAGGCAAGTGTTCAGCTGCACTCAGAAGTGACTGAAGTACCCCAGGAGTTAAAAGCAAAACCAAGCAAGAGTTTTAAAAGGTTCCTGGGCAGCAACCATGCATGAAGACTTCACTGCCAGAGTTGCTCCAGTTGAATCAAGACACAATGATCTCCAGAACTTCCACGGCAATGGTTCAAAGAATGCAGGAGTGACCACTCACTAACTGGTCCAGAATGCCCACTCAAGACAATGGCAATAAGTGGTGAGGCGCCAGCCTTGGCATAATCTGGGCGGTTGTGTCAGGAAGAGAACTACCACTGCAAACATCAGTTTACCTCCTATGGCGCTATGGTTGAGTCCCAGAATTCGTTTAGGCTTCATAGTCAATGCAGTGGGCAAGGGGCATTGCCTTGAGCCAGAGAGATGAGGGGCTGAGAGCTGGCTCAGTGACTCAGGAGTGGACCTACCCCAAGCAAGTTAGTTGGCCACTCTCTGCCTCAGTTTACTCACCTGGGTAATAATGCACCAACCACAGCACCAGCCCCATGTGGCTGCTGGGAGGATGAAATGAGATAACATGTGCAAAGGGCTCGCCACATAACAAATACTCCATTAACGTCACGTCAAGATTTCTTTTACCCTCTGTGTTATGGCCTGCAGGGTGGGTACCCTGCTGCCTGCCGACCTGCCTGCATGCCCCTGGCATATACCGTTGCAGTAGGTAACCAGGGTGCAAACACCTGGGCTTTCCACCTGAGTGCCTTCTCCTGGCTGAAGTGTGGAGCAGGCCAGAATGCCGCGGGTTAATATCCTGGAAGGAGCGCTCTGCCCATGACAGATGGGAATAAAGGGAGATCACCCGTCTTCCTTGCCCTTCGGGTGGGGTAACACTGGCTGTGTCTGACAACACTTCCCAGATGGGAAGGAACTTCAGCTGCCCACAGGAGTGACCTGTTCGATGGTGCATGTTTTTCTGGCTTCCTTTCCTTCCCTGTCTCATCTCACATCAGCCTTCCGATATCACTGAGATCACCTTCTCCCAAACAAACGATCCTGAGCATCCCTGCCTAACGGACGGCTTTGGTGCCTAGTATGGAAAGATCAGTCTTGGGCAGAAATTTTATCTGTTAACAGCAAAATGTGGGGTGCTTGTCCCACCACAGATTAGATGGTACTTGTGTGTCTCTGGGGTTTCAAATACACAAACATCAACAACAACAACAAAGAAAGATGAATCTGCCATTGTGAAGCAGTCCTAATGTCTCACATTCTCCAAGTGTGCTGAGTTCAGGATGTCTGGGCTGCATAACCCAGTCTGTCCTAGAGAGATTTAAGAAGGTTCTTACAGGAAGAGATCTGTGCTCTATGATCTGAGTGTACAAATGCATATGCGTCCAATATGCTTCCTAACAAGAGAAATAAATTTAAAACTCATTATTTATTGATTTTTTCTTTTTCCTTAAAGGAATCTCTCTTGGTTGAGTGCAGTGGTTCACACCTGTAACCCCAGCACTTTGGGAGGATGAGGCAGGAGGATCAGTTGAGCCCAGGAGTTCAAGACAAGCCTGGGCAACAAAGCAAAACTCCATCTCTATAAAAAACAAAAGGCCGGGCGTGGTGGCTCAAGCCTGTAATCCCAGCACTTTGGGAGGCCGAGGCGGGTGGATCACGAGGTCAAGAGATCGAGACCATCCTGGTCAACATGGTGAAACCCCGTCTCTACTAAAAATACAAAACATTAGCTGGGCATGGTGGCACGTGCCTGTAATCCCAGCTATTGAGGAGGTTGAGGCAGGAGAATTGCCCAGAGGCAGGAGAATTGCCTGGACCCAGGAGGCGGAGGTTGCGGTGAGCCGAGATCACGCCATTGCACTCCAGCCTGGGTAACAAGAGTGAAACTCCATCTCAAAAAAATAAATAAATAAATAAATAAATAAATAAATAAATAAATAAATAAGGCCGAGCGCTGTGGCTCACACCTGTAATCCCAGCACTTTGGGAGGCCGAGGCGGGTGGATCATGAGGTCAGGAGTTCGAGACCAGCCTGGCCAGCATGGTGAAACCACATCTCTATTAAAAACTAACAAAAAAAACTGGCTGGGCATGGTGGTGTGCACCTGTAATCCCAGCTACTCGGGAGGCTGAGGTAGGAGAATTGCTTGAACCCAGGAGGCAGAAATTGCAGTGATTCGAGATTGTGCCACTGCACTCCAGCCTGGGCAACGGAACAAGACTCCATCTCAAAAAAACAAATACATAAAAAGTATAAATAAAAACAAAAACATTAGCTGTGTGTGGTGGTATGCACCTGCAGTCCTAGCTACTCAGGACTGCTTGAGCCCAGGAGTTCAAGGTTACGGGGAACTATGATCACAGCACTACACTCCGGCCTGGGTGACAGAGCAAGACTGTCTCTAAAAAAAGAAATCTTTGTTTCTGCACACATACGCACACATGTGAGTCAGTTTTCCTAAGCATCAAGGGAATGCCCAAGATGACAGAATGAATGGCCTTACCTTGGGAGAGGCACTGGTTGGCCAAGGCCACCTGACCAGAATGCAGGTAGAGATTGAGACGTGTGAAGATGCCCGTCAAGGAGGGGATGGTGATGAAGCAGTAGGCAACACAGGCCTAGGTGAAGGGGAGAAACATCAACGCTGGAAACACCACAGTGGCAGAATCATACTCCTGTTTTCATCCCTCATGCATTTCTAAGTAAAGAAACTTACAATAGTGAATTTCCCCATTCTGAGCCCCAATTTTCCCCTCTTGTACAACTCTGCTCTGTCTGATCACCCTCTGGGAAGACGGGGGTGTAAGGGGAGTGAGTGATAATGCAGGAAAGCAAATCCTCACCCATCATCATAGGAAGTAAATAGGTAGAACCTAACGTTGATAAACTGATAAATAAGGAGGTAATCAGAAGCAGTTGCTAAAGAGTTTGAGGTGGCTGAGGAAAGAGGAGCAAGGTGACAAAGGGCAGAGTCAGGATGCTTATTTTTTAATGTCATCTTTTCAGTATGATTTCATGTTTAAAAACAAAGACACATACTGCTTTCTTAAAGTTTTGAACAGGGCTGGGTGCAGTGGCTCACACCTGACATCCTAACAGTTTGTGAGGTTGCGGCAGGAGGATCACTTGAGGCCAGGAGTTCGAGACCAGCATGGGCAACCTAGTGAGACTCCCCTCCCCTATCTCTACAAAAAAAAAAAAAAAAATTTAGCTGGGCATGGTGGTTATAGTGAACCATGATGGTGCCACTGCACTCCTGCCTGGGTGACAGAGCAAGACTCTGTCTCCAAAATAAAAAATATGTAAATTTTGAGTAGCATCACATCTGATAAAATTTTCAGCTTCAAGAAGCTGAAAATGTTTTCCAGAGCTGAATCAGGCTGGGCATGGCGGCTCACACCTGTAATCCCAACACTTTGGGAGGCTGAGGCAGGCAGATCACTTGCAGATAGGAGTTTGAAACCAGCCTGGCCAACATGGTGAAACCCCATCTCTACTGAAAATACAAAAAAATTAGCTGGGCATGTTGGTGGGCGTCTGTAATCCCAGCTACTTGAGGGGCTGAGGGGGAGAATCGCTTGAACCCGGGAGGCAGAGGTTGCAGTGAGCTGAGATCACACCACTGCACTCCAGCCTGGGCAACAAGAGAAAAACTCCATCTCAAAAAAAAAAAAAAAAATGTTCAGCATCATTATCATCTAGAGAAAAAAGCCCTTTCAGTTATAAGCACAATATTATACATATTTTTATATTAGAAAACTATTTTATATTTTATAGTGTTATTAACTATGTGTTATATTAGTATTATATTAGAGAAAATGAAAGCTAGTTCAGCTGGCATATAAACATGCAGCTCCATCACTCATTTACCTTCCCCACAACACATATTAAAGTTCAGACTCTTTTAACCACTTCTCTTGAAAACATTAAGAAAATGGATCATCCCATAGATACAGGGAAAAATAAAATTAATCTGAAAAATCAATACTAAACCATTCTTATCATGACACACTTGTCTTTTTCCAGGAAGAGTAATTTAGTAACCTGCACACTAAATAGACCACTGGAGTTCAAAGTCTGACAGTCCTTATCTTGAGAACTTACCCGGACAAACGCAGCCGTCTTTCTGGAATGATTTCCTTTCATTACTTTTCTCGTCTCCATTGCCAACCGGTTTACACTCTGAATTTGTGAATAAAACAGAAATGGTAATGAGGTAATGGCCAATTCAGATGAATGTCTTCCATAGAGATTTGAACATTAACTACATACAGGTCAATGAGAACAAGCTTTCTAGGACCAAGACTGGTTAGCACCAAACCCTGAAACGCCAAAGGGGTCATCAGACTTGATCCCATCATGGCTTGAGCAAATATCTACGTTTGTCATGCCTTCCGATCAGCCTTTTAAATGACCATTTTCTGGCTTAACGAACAGCTGGGATTCACTTTCTCCATTTCCAAAAATCCCATCACACCAAAGTTTAAGAATTTAGAGATCTTGGGCCAGGTGCCTGTGGCTCACGCCTATAATCCCAGAACTTTGGGAGGCCGAGGTGCGTGGATCACCTGAGGTCAGGAGTTCAAGACCAGCCTGACCAACATGGTGAAACCCTATCTTTACTAAAAATACAAAAATTAGCTGGGCGTGTGTCTGTAATCCCAGCTACTCAGGAGGCTGAGGCAGGAGAATGGCTTGAACCTGGGAGGCGGACGTTGTAGTAAGCCAAGATCGCACCATTGCGCTCCAGCCTCAGCAACAGAGCAAGACTCTGCCTCAAAAAAAAATAATAATAATTTAGAGATCTTAAGAGACACCTGCAAAGCACACCACTTAGAAAATCAGACCACACCATTCAGCTATACAGTACCAACAATAAGAACAATAATGATAGTAGCCACATCATCACTTACAGTGTTCCAAGCGCTACACATTTATTGGTTCACTTAAGCTTCATAATCCCAGGGTGGAAACTATTACCTCCCCTGTTTTCCAGATAAAGTTTCTACATTTAGGTCTTAAGTTTAGTTGTGCTAAATAACTTGCTAACCAGCCAACAAATACATACAAAAGTTATTTTCCTTGAATAGACATGAAGTAATGAAAGAGCCTTAGGGGAACAAAAAACAGTATTATTTTTCTTTCAATTTATATATATACATTTTCTTCAAATGGCTATCAAGTTGTTAGAGCATAAACACTTAAACTGTCTGATCTTACCTTTTTTTTTTTTTTTTGTGAGATGCAGTCTCCCTTTCTCACCCAGGCTGGAGTGCAGTGGCATGATCTCTGCTCACTGCAACCTCCACCTCCCAGGTTTAAGCAATTCTCCTGCCTCAGCCTCTCAAGTAGATGGGATAACACGTGCCTGCCATCACACCTGGCTAATTTTTGTATTTTTAATAGAGAAAGAGATTCACCATGTTGGCCAAGCTGGTCTTGAATTCCTGACCTCAACTGATCTGCCAGCCTCAGTCTCCCAAAGTGCGGGGATTACAGGCATGAGCCATCATGCCTAGACTGAACCTAACTTCTTAATAAACAGGCTGTTATTAATTCTTCTGGTCCGCAGGCATCATAAAATGTTAGAGAGAGACCATGATCCAAAAAAGTTGGGAACCTCTTGTTAGGTAGAAGAGGCTTTCTCTGGTTAGATTTCTGTAACTAATCAGTGTAAATCACTAAACTCTTGCTGGCATGGAGAAACAAGAAAACAGGAATCTCACAGAAAAAGAGATCAATAAAACCAAAGTTGTAAGTTTATTAACCTCTAAGAAATCACCTTTCATTTCACAGAGAACAGTAACAAAACAGGGCCAGAAGAATCCCAGATTATGGCTGGGCACAGTGGCTCATGCCTGTAATCCCAGCATTTGGGAGGCCAAGGCAGGAGGATTACCAGATGCAAGGAATTTGAGACCAGCCTGGGTAACGCAGTGAGACCCCATCTCTCAAAAAAAAAAAAAAAAAAAAGAAATGAAAACAGCCAGGCATGGTGGCTCAAGCTGATAGTACCAGCTACTTAGGAGCCTGAGGCAGGAGGATTCCTTGAGCCCAGGAGTTCAAGGCAACGGTGAACTATGATTGTGCCACTGCACTCTAGCCTGGGTGACAGAGCAAGACCCTGTCTCTAATAAAATAAAAATAAATGATTGGGATGCAGATGATCAACAAATACTTACTGAGAGAAGAAACTAATGAATGAAAATCCTTACGTGAATCAACTGCACAAGAACAGGCTCCAGATTGCAAAACATCGACCTGGACTCAACGTAAAAACTCAGCTGTTGTTCAAAATCACGGCCAAAGGATACCTAGAATCAAGGAGAAAGATGCTGCAGGGGACAGTGGTCTTTTTAGAGGGAACACAAGCGAACACGGTATGACTGAAATATTATTGCCACCTCATCTTTATGACGTGGGCAGCAGACTGGAACATAAGAAGTCAAAGGGTATAAAGCAGGAGTTCAGGGTGTAAACAGAATTTTCCAGGCTCCAAAGGAAACCACTGGAAAGGGAATAATGGGATTTTGTTTGTCAGCTGTGGCCTTTTCACAGAACATAAATGTGGTTATTGGGGGCCATTTGTCAGATGGTTTGCTATTGTAACGGTCACACCTTTCCGCTTCCTGATGGGGACCCAACCTCAGCAGCTCACTGGTGGCTACAGGGGCCATAGATGGAAGTCTGTCCACCATTAAACACCCACCTCTTCTCCTGTTCCTTCAGATATATGAATAGCTCATTAGTAAGAAAAACTTTACTGCTACATCAATTACTTTTGTCCAGGTGAGATTCAACGTCGCTATTTCCATTACAGCTATCATGTTTCATATCTAACTGCTTTATATTCTTTTCCATAACTCGGTAACTTTCAGACAATGCCATAAAAAGATAAATACCACATGAAGAGTACATAAAGCAAGGGCCAAGGAAAGTGACCTGAGGAAATACACAGGTCTGTTTCCCAAAGCAGGGATTAAAAGGCTAATCCTGAATTTTCATCAAAATTAGATATTTCACCCACAGAGTCAAGTGGACTAATCAACCCACATTATTTAACAAGTCAGAATTTCAAGGTTATTTTCAAAGTGATCTTGTCATTTTCATCTCGGTCAGCTTTGGTCCTGATTTCTCTATTAAAATAGGAGATAGTGGCAGCAGTTGGCATTTTGGCTTAGAGCACCCAGAATTAAGGCAAAGATTTTTCAGGCTGTGATAGTATCATGGTGGGATGTTCCCAGAGGAATCCCTCCCACTCTGCTTGCCCTTCTGCAACGTCTCTGTGGACCAACCCCATCAAGAGGCAGAGCCTCTTCCCCTCTAGACTGGCCCTGTGACTTGCTTTGACCGACAGATTGCAGTAGAATGGGGCAGGAGGGTACTGTGATTTCTTTTTTTTTTCTTTTTTCAAGACAGAGTTTTGCTCTTGTTGCCCAGGCTGGAGTGCAGTGACATGGTCTTGGCTCGCGGCAACCTCTGCCTCCCATGTTCGAGCTATTCTTCTGCCTCAGCCTCTCGAGTAGCTGGAATTACAGGCATGCACCACGCCTGGCTAATTTTGTATTTTTAGTAGAGAGGGGGTTTCGCCATGATGGTCAGGCTGGTCTTGACCTCCTGATCTCAGGCGATCCACCCGCCTTAGCCTCCCAAAGTGCTGGGGTTACAGGCGTGAGCCACCACACCCAGCCTCACTGTGTGATTTCTAAGCCTTGGCCTTAAAATGCCTGGCTGCTTCTGTCTGTGCCTTCAAAGAAGCCAGCACCAAGTAAGCCCCAGCCCATGTCCATCACCAAAGCCCTGCAGAAAAGAACAAGGCCACTGTGGATCCTCCGGCCCAACTGAGCCACACCACACTGCCTGCGGCAGCCTGGTTACCCAACTGATCCACAGAGTTTAAGAACTAATAAAAAACTCATGCTGCGCGTAGTGGCTCAGGCCTGTAATCCCAGCACTTTGGGAGGCTGAGGTTGGAGGACTGTTTGAAGCCAGGAGTTGGAAACAAGCCTGGGCAATATAGCGAGACCTCCATCTCAATACTCTCAAAAAAACCCAACCCTAAAAAGCCCTGTTAAAGCCACTAAGTTTTGGGATGAGCTGTTACTCAGCCATGGATAAGTAAAACAGATGGGGAGTAGATATCTGGCTTTCTGCCTGCCCGGCATAGCTTTCACCCCCATCTGATGATGCATCAGCCGCTTCAGGGCACCCTTTCTTTCCACTCTCGGTCCTCCCGACCCAGGTCACCCAGGTGTGCTTGGGGCTGTGACCCAAGTTAATCCAAAGAGACTGGATCCCAGGACTTTGCTGGAGCCCCTCCTGCTGGGCTGCAGAGCTGCAGAGAATGGAAACCTGGAGCTGGGGTGGGGTGGACCCATCGGAGCCGGAAGCCAGCAAGGCAGACAGAGCCCAGGGCTAAGGACGGACAGGGAAGGCAGGTCCTGTAGAATGGGGACATCGAGGAGACCCCGAGCCCGGCTGCTCCTTCAGTAGAGTTCCATAGCCCTGGACTTTTTGTTACATGAGCCAAGAAATCCCTCCTCCCATCCCCCCCCACCCCGCCCACCCTTTTCCTCTTAAGTCAGTTTGTCTTGGCTGTCTTTGCCCCCAGGGGAGTCCTGGCTAATGTAAGATGTTTTCTGATTTCATCTTATCTCACTAAGAATGAAAAGCACCAGAGAACATAATGTTAACTGCTTTCGCCAGAATAAGGATAAACAATTACATCACACTTCCAAGTGCACAGAAACTTCCCTAATACTTACCATTTTTATAAATCCATTAATCAAATATGACAGCATTCTTTTCTCATCCTCAAGAGTGAGTGCACTAAAATCAATAATTGTACATAATTAACACTGAGGTAATAGATGAAAGTTTCTAAAGAAATAAATACACAAGGTTTAGTAATTTAACAGGTAAGAATATTTTGCATTTTCTAGTTTTAAAAAACTCCCAACAGGCTGTTTATTTTTCCTTTGATAAAAATACATAATCATGATTAACACAATTTAAATGTGTTTCTCATCTCCCTCAAAGATGCTGTTCTCAAGATATATTTATTAACAAGAAAAGAAAAGGTAACTTTTACTTCTTTGGAACTTGGGCAGCAAGGTCTAATGTCAAATTTTGTATTTCAGGGAAATTTCACTTAATATTTTATTATAAAACATTTCCAGCGGGATGTGCTGGTTCACACCTATAATCTCAGCACTTAGGAAGGCAGAGATAGCAGGTTTGTTTGAGCCTAGGAGTTGGAGACCAGCCTGGGCAACACGATGAGACCCCATTCTCAACCAAAAGGAAAGAAATATTTCCAACATACAGCAAAGTTGAACGAATTTTCCAGTAAACACTCACATACCCACCATCGAGATCCTGCCATCACCATTTTACTTGCTTTACCACATAGTTAGCCATTTCCCTCTCCATCCATCAATCCATCTTATTTTTCTGATACATCATAAAGTAAATCTCAGGCCTCAGTTGCTTCTATTTAATAGGAAATTTAACACAAATATAAATTTAAAAAGTCAAATCATTATAGTTTCGATTGTACTTGTGAAGGCCTATCAGTAGTTTCCCAAATTTATTTAAAAAAAATTTTAAGGGCCCAGAGAAAACAGAATCAAGGTTTTTGCTTGTTCTTGGGGAAAATGTTTTAGCGAGGACTGGTCACTGTCCTCCAATAGGAATGCCCACTTTGTTCTTTTTTTGTTTGTGTGGTTTTGTTTTTTGTTTTGTTTCTTTTTTTGAGATGGAGTTTCACTCTTGTTGCCCAGGCTAGAGTTGAATGGCGTAATCTAGGCTCATTGCACCCTCCACCTCCCAGATTCAGGCGATTCTCCTGCCTCAGTCTCCCAAGTAGCTGGGATTACAGGCATGTGCCACTATGCCCAGCTAATTTTTTTTTTTTTTTTTTTTAAAGTAGAGATGGAGTTTCACTATGATAGTCAGGCTGATCTCGAACTCCTGAATTCAGGTGATCCACCTGTCTTGGCCTTCTAAAGTGCTGGGATTACAGGCATGAGACAGTGTACCTGGCCCCACTTTGTTCTTAGAACAACATTCCCCAGCCTCCTTCCCAGCTAGGGAAGGCTATGGGACCATTCTGGACAATGAGATGTGAACACAAGCGATGTGTGAGCCTTCCCAGCTTTGTCCCTAAGAGAAAGCTGCTGTTCCCCAGTGCCCACAGGCTGAAACATGAACATGGTCGAGATAGATCAGCTTCCAGGAAGAAGACAAGGACAATACCCCAAATAGATTGGGAGAACAATAAGACAGAAATAACCTGGGTCCCTGGATGATGTTTGAAAGAACAGCTGCCCAACCCCTACCTTCTGGTCTGTCTACTATGCATAATTTTAAGAGAGAAATCAACCTTCTATTTTACTTAAGCCAAAACCCAATATCTCATGAATCTAAGTGCCTTTCTGGATGCTTTTTGTGTCTTTATTTCTATTTTTGTCCAACTAAAGTCTACCGGTTCCATTTTTATAAATGTCTGGACACTCTGATTTTCGTAGCTACCTATGAATTTGAAAGCACAAAGAATCATAAAAGTAAAGACTCTAAAATGCAAAGAAAACAAAGAAGAAATATAATTCATCTTGTTGATGGTTAAATTCCAAAACAATTTTTCTCCATTCTTGTAACATTTTCCAGTAAATCAAGCTGCCGTGTTTAAAAATTCTTTGGGGACTAAAATTTTGGCCACAAATAAGCAGAAATTACCCTAAGCACAGTCAAATGAAAACATATTTAAAAAATAAACAAAGAAAAATCAGAAAGCAAAGCAGTGATTATTCAGTCTTTGACTGAAAGGTAACGCCTGTGGCTATGTCTCAGCCTCAAGTATACCAAGGAAATAAAGTCAGTTTTATTTGAATTTCAAATAATTGGCTAATAAAGAGATAAAACTGAAAGGCTATGTTACTGGATGAGTGAGCTCATTATTATACTATTTGCTGCTTTCAGAAATCTCCAAGAGACATGGAGTTTGAGTTCACTTGAATGAAACCAGCTTTTTACCCATAACAGAAGTTTCTTTCTAACAACATCTGCCACGTTGCTTTCTCAGGAAGGTTATCCTCAGCCTTCTTCCTCTCCTGGACTGGAATGTCCTCATTAGCAAGAATCTTAATATACCCAATAAAGTAATAGTATTCACAGTGGCAGCTTAAAACAGTCATTCCCTAATGTTCTATTAGGTGGCATTAAGACCCAATCCATGTTACATTTCAGCTCTAAGTATGGCTTACTTCACAGAGTCATGCATGGTCTTGCAAACGTGCAAAAGGGCATTCAAAATGACTGGGTCCTTGGTGGGCTCTTGCTGATGCCTAGGAGACATTTAAAGATAAAAGTCAAAGCTATTTCCTGGATTCAGTTCTCATCCATTGTACACAGTTGAAAAGCAGCAAATTATCCAGCTGGCATTTCGCCCAGCCTGGTTTACCAGTAATGAGCCATGTTCTGGTTGTCTCAGAATTTTTTTTAACTTTTGAGACACAGCCTCACTCTGTTGCCCCAGCTGGAATGCAGTGGTGTGACCTCAGCTCACTGCAGCCTCTGCCTCCTGGATTCAAGTGATCTCCTGCCTCAGCCTCCTGAGTAGCTGGGACTAAAGAAGTCCAGCTCATTTTCGTATTTTTGGTAGACACAGGGTTTCACCATGTTGGGCAGACTGGTCTTGAACTCCTGGCCTCAGGTGACCCGCGGCCTAAGCCTCCGAAAGTGCTGGGTTTACAGGCGTGAGCCACTGCGCCTGGCCCAGAATTCTTTAAATAACAAGTTCACTCTTCTACACACCTGATAACTTCTCCTATCTGCAAAATCATGGGAAAACTGTTCCCTTTCCTAAACCAGGCAGGCTAAGGGCAAACCTAGTTTGTTTGTTCTACTAGGCTTCTCGTACCTTCTGAAGCTGCTCACAACCTGTCTGTCACTGTGTTCTTAATAGTTACATTTTGCCAGCCTCAAGTATTCATTTGGTTTTTCAAATAATATAAGAGGACAAACTCTTATAACAAATCTTTAGGTAAGTAAATTAGGTATTTTTATTCCAAGCATATTAATTAGGAATTAATATTAATCCTCAGGAAGAAATTAATCTTTTAGAAAGATAACAAGAAAAGCTTAAAACATTTGAGCAATATCAAACTCAATTTTCCACACTGAACTATATCTATTTATTTAATAAAGTAACTTTAGCTTTTTACTTAACCTTGTCCTAAAAAATAATATACTATACATCAAATTACATTAAATAAACTAGTTATACACTGCCTAATACATTTAAAATCAATATATAACTTTAAAAATAAAAACAGGCCGGGTGCAATGGCTCATGCCTATAATCCCAGCACTTTGGGAGGCCACAGGGGCGGATCACCTGAGGTCAGGAGTTTGCGACCAGCCTGGCCACCATGGTGAAACCCCGTCTCTACTAAAAATACAAAAAAATGAGCTGGGTGTGGAGGTGGGCACCTGTAATCCCACCTACTCAGGAGGCTGAGGCAGGAGAATTGCTTGAACCCGGGAGGCAGAGGTTGCAGTAAGCCGAGATCACGCCACTGCACTCCAGCCTGGGTGACAGAGCACAACTCTGCCTCAAAAATAAAAATAAAAATGAATAAAAATAAAACCCTAGCTAGGTGAGGTGGCTCATACCTATAATCCCAGCACTTTGGGAGGCTAATGTGGGTAGATGGCTTGAGCCCAGAAGATCAAGACCAACCTGGGCAACAAAGAGAGACCCAATCTCTACAAAAAATACAAAAATCAGCTGGGTTGTGGTGGCACACATCTGTAGTCCCAGCTACCTGGGAGGCTGAGGCGGGAGGATCATCTGAGTGTGAGGAGGTTGAGGCTGCAGTGAACCGTAATTGTGCCACTGCACTCCAGCCTGGATGACAGAGTGAGACCCTGTCGCAAAACAAAAACAAAAAAACACATTTTTTCCACGTACCACCTTAAAATTATTTCATGTAGCACTAGCAGTAGGGCAGTTTTGGGAAACACAAGCTTAATCCGAAAAATGAAAAGAACAAAATTTAATTTTTTTTCTTTTTTGTTAAAGAGCTAAATTGGAAAACTGATCACAAATTAGCCACATAACTAAACAATGAAGATGCAAACCTTTCTAGCACCAGTGCCGGCCTAAGTATGTATGCCCTGATTTTTATCCTTAAAAATGCTACTCTCAAGGGAATTTATCAAGACCGCTCCTTCTAAAAACCTTATCAAAGTAAAATGGAGCTGCTGGCCAGGCTCATAACACTTGCTAGTCTGCCTTCTTAAACAGGAGTTACAAACTTTTATCATGACTCCTGCTTTTAATGTGGCTTTCCTTCCAGTGTGGTTTTCTGCATGAAATATGTACACGTCATTAGGCTTCAAGGTGCAAGAACTGATTTTTTTATCAACAGGTTTCATTCACAAGGGCACTGAGAATCAAGGCTTCTGCGCACGGCGTTGCACTCACTTGATAAAGGCTTCCATGATGCATTTGCAAACCTCCACCCGCACGCTCTCTTTTTGGAACATGTCCAGAAACGGCAGAAATTTTTCCTATAAATAAAACAAGCACTCTATGCAAATGACACACGTTATTGGAAGGAAGGAATGTGTGGGCTCTTTTTCTGTGGAGGTCAAAAAAAGCAGAATAGAGGTTTACTCTGAGTTGGGTCAGAGGAGGACTCCTCTGAAATCAGGGAGAGGACCTGACTGGGCTTTGAAAAGGCTGTTATGGGGCTGGGCACGGTGGCTCACACCTATAATCCCAGCACTTTGGGAGGCCAAGGAAGGCGGATCACTTGAGGCCAGGAGTTTGAGACCAGCCTGGCCAACATGGTGAAACCCCGTCTCTACTAAAAACACAAAAATCAGCCAGGCGTGATGGTGCATGCCTGTAGTCCCAGCTACTTAGGAGGCTGAGGCAGGAGAATTGCTTGAACTTAGGAGGTGGAGGTTGCAGTGAACCAAGATTGCTCCGCTGCACTCCAGCCTGGGCAACAGAGCAACACTCTGTCTCAAAAATAAATAAACAAATAAAATAAAATAAAAAGCTGTTACTATTAAAACAACTTATTTGCGTTCCAGGGATTGGTGCTGGGACCAGTTAACAATTTGGTGAGCCATCCAGGCAACCTTTGACAACCATAAGCTTTTCTGGGCAGCAAAATGCAAGGCAGACTTCAGTCTTTTATGATTATATTGATGAGCAATGGAAGAAGAACCAGAGTAGACATGTTCAAAGATGGCCTCTAAATTGGACTGCCTGGCTGACTCCCAATCTCAGTGACTGTGTGGCTGTAAGCAAGTTACTCTACCTCTTCATCAGTTTTTTAATCTGTAAAGTGTGAATATAATAGTTGCTCCCTATCTGCGATTTTGTTTTTCATAGTTTCAGTTTCCCTCGGTTAATGGCCATCTGAAAATATTCAATAGAGAATTCTAGAAATAAGCAATTCATTCATTTTACTTTTATTGTATTTTATTTGTTTGAGACAGAGTCTCGCTCTGTTGCCCAGGGTCAAGTGCACTGGTGTGATCTCAGCTCACTGCAACCTCCACCTCTGCCAAGCGATTCTCCTGCCTCAGCCTCCCCCAGGTAGCTGGGACTATAGGCACACACCACCACACCTGGCTAATTTTTTGTATTTTTAGTAAAGATGGGGTTTCACCACATTGGCCAGGCTGGTCTGGAACTGGTGGTCTCAGGTGATCTATCTGCCTCGGATAGTGCTGGGATTACAGGCATGAGTCACAATGCCCAGCCTCATTCATTTTAAATTGTATGTTGCTCAGAGTAATGTGATGAAATCTCCTGCTATACTGCTCTGTCCTGCCCAGGTTGTGAGTCACCCCTTTGTTCAGCGTCTCCACATGTAGATGCTATCCGCTTGTTAGTCATTTAGTAGCTGTCTTGGTCATTGGATTGACTCAGGCTATCGCAGTGCCTTTTGTTCGAAGAACATTTATTTTACTTAATAATGGCCCTAAAGTGCAAGAATAGCGTAGGTATGTATTTATAGGATAAAACATAGTATACATAGGACTCAGTACTATCTGCCGTTTCAGGCATCTCCTGGTGGTCTTGGAACATATCCCCCTTGGATAAGAAGGCACTACTACAGTAATAACTCCTACGTCCCTGTGATGGTATGAAACTGATGAGAGGCAATGCACGTAAAGTCCCAGCACAGTGCTTGGAATGTGGTATATTTCCAGTAAATATTAGCTGCTATGATTAAAATAAAAAATCTTACAATCTGTGAGCATACGTAAATGGAACCTGGGAGAGGGAAGCAAAAGAAGAGACAGAGAATGCTATTATACAGAGAATAACCTAGATTCCTACTTGCCCAGGGCACTGAGCAAATTCAAATACACATTGCAGGATATTTTATATTTTTTAGGGAATCCTGGTAAATCTCAATTGTCAGACACAGGAACAACTACTAGCTCAATGTATTACATAGTTTCAACATTAGGCTGTGTGATGAAAAAGCAAGTGCCCTGGGAAAATCACCGTGGAAGAGCAAAGGAAGAAGAGGCTGTCCAAAGTGCTTGGAATGTTGGAGAAGGTGTGTAATGCCCCACAGAGCACATATCCCATTAGTAAGTAAGGAATGAAACAGAAATAATATTTTTCTTTCAGTTTTACTGTATTATGTTTTCAAATACTGCTTAAGTTGTTAGGACATAAATACTTAAGTTGATCAGACCAAACTACTTTATAAAAGGAACTGCTGAATATTTCTTTTGGACTTAGGCATCATGAAAACATTACTGAGACAATGAGAACCTCTGAGCCAGGTACAAATTTCCAAAGATAATTAAGAAATGCTACTTACCACTGAGAAAAGAACTGAGAAGTCATGGAAGTAGGCAATAACTTTCTTAATTATTAACTGAAGCTGTAAAACAAGCAAATAAAAATCTTACTTTTAAAACCTTAATTTTTAAAAATTTATTTCTGGTTCACAATCTCTCCTGAAAACCTTAATTTTTTTTTTTTTTTTTTTTTTAAATTACAACTACAACAAGGTAAGTCTGAATTGTTCGACGACAAATGGTGAACTGGGCTTAGGGTAGGTTCTGTCTCAGTCTAAGTTTGCCCAATGACTCTGAACATCCTACTTTGTAGCCCTGGGGAAGTAACTGAGTCTCAGTCTCAGCTTCCTCATCTGTGAACTGGAGGTCAAAGCAGTAGGGACTCAATGGAATGATTTGAGGAAAGTGCTGAGTGTAGTGCCCACCCTATTGTTATTCCTTGAAAAGTGGGCAAACTTTTTCTATAAACGTCCTACAGTCCACCACAATCACTCAACACTATTTTAGTGCAAAGGCAGCCATTGCCAACATTAAATGAATGTGCATTAAAGGAATCTGTGCCAATAAAACTTTATTCACAAGAACAAGTGGCAGGCTATATATAGCCTATGGGCTGTAGTTGGCCGATCCCTATTCTAGCTCATCTATCATGGCCCTGTGTGTCTTGGTTACTTCACTGGAGAGGATCTGGAATGAGTTCACTGGTAGAGTCAAAGAACAAGGTATTACCCAGGGGTGGCGGTACAGTCTATGAGGTCTGCCTCAAAAATGCCCAGATACCGATGGTTACCACCCCCACCCTGAGACGCACACTCCAGACTGAAAGGTCCAGGAGAACCAAGGATGATGTTTCTAAATAAAATAGAACTCCCTATTCCCGGTTGCTATCAAGAAAATTTACTGACAATTTGTTTACACGAAAAAAAACCTGCTGTTTCAATAATTTCCAAAGAAAATCTCTCATGTTCTAAAAACAGAACATGAAGAACATTATGTGACCATTTCATAATTAGGCAGCTTACTAGGTCAGTCAAGCAAAACACTAATAAAGGACTTCAAAACTTCATCATGAACAATGCTCCAAGGCAATGCTGTCTGGTTAAACTAGTTTCTGTAGCACAGAAACTATTTTAGGCTCCTAAGTTCAAGCAATTCTCCTGCCTCAGCCTCCTAAATTCTTACCTAAAGGAAGACAATTCTTGTCTTTACTGTGATAGCTGCAAAATGGTGATTTTCCCATTCTACCATTTCTTTCACATTTCTCAATCTGCTCATCTATTTATCTATTCATCATAAGGATGGACTCTTGGATTCCTATTTTACTCAATGAGCTATAATCCATTACTGTCCTAATTTCATTTGATACTCAAATTGGGAGCCAGTGAGAGCCCCTTCAAGATGCTCTTTTTTTTTTTTTCTTTTGAGATGGAGTCTGGCTCTGTCGCCCAGGCTGGAGTGCAGTGGTGCAATCTCGGCTGACCGCAACCTCCACCTCCCGGGTTCAAGTGATTCTCCTGCCTCAACCTCCTGAGTAGCTGGGATTACAGGTGTGAGCCACCACGCGCGGCCTCAAGCTACTCTTATACCCTTTTCACATGTTCCCATTAGTGGTTTTTTTTTGAGACCATGTCTCTCTCTCTCACCCAGCCTGCAGTGCTTACTGCAACCTTGGCCCCCAAGGCTCAAGTGATCCTCCCACTGCACCATCCCAGGTAGATGGGACTATCAGTGTGCACCACCACACCAGCTAATTTTTATATTTTTTGTAGAGATGGAGTTTCACCATATCGCCCTAGTCTTGAACCCTGGGGTTTCACCATGTTGGCCAGGATGGTCTCGATCTCCTGACATCGTGGGCCGACATCATGAGCCTCCCCTGTGGCCTCCCGAAGTGCTGGGATTACAGGCATGAGCCAGTGCTCCCGGCCTGTGCCTATTTAATTCAACAGAACAAAATTCCTAAGAATGTTGAAATGAGAAATGCAAATGTTACCTGGGGGTAGGAATCTTCAAATGCACGATCTGGAGTCATGTGCTTGATGACATCTGCCAAAACGGTATTCACCTCTCGTTTCTAAGAGAGGAAAAGGAACCAAACCTGTATTAGACATTGAATGGCAATCCCTGATGTTCGTGGGGGAAAGGACCAACGTATTCAGAATACATCACACATCTTCCAGGAAATCGTAAATATTCTGCTGAAAATAACACAAGGGAGGAAATCCCACTCATATCACCTGGTCCTGTACCACAGCACCACACCAAGTCAGGACTAAACGCTGTTCTCAAAGGTTCTGGAGCTTTACATGGCCCCTGCTTTCCCTGAGTGGTGGTCAAATTGGCCACCCCTCTTTCCGCCTGCCTGTCCCAGGCCCTCCCTCAGGTGCCTGCAAAGAGAACAGCGAAGCACTGTGGGAAGAGCGCAGGCTCCCCCTTACAAGCCGTCTGACCTAACTGCTCACTGTTCACTTTTGTCACCTATAGCAAGAGTCAGCTAAGTGCAGCCCAATACAGCCCAGGGCCTGTTTTATTCAGGCCCACAAGCTAAGAATGCCTTTTAAGTCTCTATAATTAACTGCTGATTTACAGGAAATACTACAGGCAGAAGAGCACATTAGACATCATCGCAGGAATGCAATGGGAAAAAGTCCAGTCTTTGCAACTCTACAGGACAAAAGACCCAATTTCTTCAACAAATAAGTTACAGGGAAAGAAAGGAGCAGGAGAGGAGGAGACAGACTGAGAGAGAATTTACACACCAGAAGTATCCTAAAATGCCTATTGCAATTTAGAAGCCTTATTTTCAACTGGATTTCAACAAATAAGCTTTAAAAAATGAGACAATTGGGGAAATCAGAATATTGACTGGCATTTATGATATTAAATGATTAGCAACTCGGCTGGGCTTGGTGGCTCACGCCTGTAATCCCAGCACTTTGGGAGGCCAAGGTGGGCAGATTGCTTGAGATTAGGAGTTCAAGACCAGCCTGGCCAACATGGGGAAACCCTGTCTGTACCAAAAATAATTAAAATTAGCTAGGCATGGTGGCATGCGCCTATAGTCCCAGCTAATCAGGAGGCTGAGGCAGGAAAATTGCTTGAACCCAGGAGGCGGAAGTGGCAGTGAGCCGAGGTCACGCCATAGGACTCCAGCCTGGGTGACACAGAGAGACTCCGTCTCAAGAAAGAAAACAAAAATTAGTAATGAACAAATTTCCACCTTAAGAGCAGGAAAAAAAAAAAACTAGTAACTTTTTTCCTTAGAATAACGTATTTAGATTTGGTTTAAGGAAGGGACCCTCCAACCTGGGCAATATAGCGAGACCTCGTCTTTACAAGTAAAACAAAATTTAGCCAGGTGTGCTGGCATGTGCCTGTGGTCCCAGCTACTTGGGAAGCTGAGGCCAAGTCCAAGATCAAGGTAGATTTGGTGACCGGTGAGGACCCATTCCTCATAAATGGCATCTTCTCCCCATGTCCTCATGGGGTGGAAGGGGTCAGTAAGCTCCACTGGGCATCTTTTATCATTATTTATTATTATTATTTTTGTTTTGAGACAGTCTCGCTCTGTTGCCCAGGCTGGAGTGTAGCAGTGCGATCTTGACTCACTGCAGCCTCTGCCTCCCACATTCAAGCGATTGTCCTGCCTCCACCTCCTGGGTAGCTAGGACTATAGCCATGTGTCACCACACCTGGCATGTGTGTGTGTGTGTGTGTGTGTGTGTGTGTGTGTGTGTGTGTGTATTTTTAGTAGAGATTGAGTTTCACCATGTTGGCCAGGCTGGTGGGCTTCTTTTATTATAAGGGCATTAATCCCATTCATAAGGACGCTGCCCTCATGACCTAATCTCCTCCCAAAGGCTCCACCTTCTAATACCATCATCTTGAGGGCTAGGATTTCAACACATGAATTCTGGGAGGACACAGACATTCATACCATAGCATGCTTACAGTACTTCAATTTTTAGGACTTGATTAAAATAAATAAATTACTCTATCAGTGGGTTTTGAACCTACTTCTATCTGCTTCTAAAGTCTCCACTCTTTGACACACCCAGTATTCCTCTAACTGTGGTTCTAGTCTACGTCTAAGGAAAGAAATATTTGCTTAGGAAAAAAATTACACGTCAGTCAAATTGCATGGGAAACACTGCTTACTAGACTCCAACGTACAGTCGCAATGCATTTTAGCATGTAAGCATCTAAGGTATCCTATGGTTAAAAAAAAAAACAAAAACAGTTTAACTTTGTATAGTCCTGCATTTTCCAAACTTAAATGTAAGCATGGAACAGTGATTTTTTGTTATAGTACACCTATTAGTGCTCCATCACGCTTTATTGTAATGTAATTTTTATAAATTATAAGAGCAATTACCATTGTAAAATGCCTCAATGCCTGAACTAGACTAATTCACCATTATAAACATGAAAAAATGCAATTCTTTCAAAAACAATACCACAGTCACACATACCGTGAAATGCTTGCAGGTGTACTCCACCCACACCTCGGCACAATTAATGTAGTCCTACAAAGAAAAACGGAAAACATCTTAATGTTAAGTACAACATAGTTTGCCTTACAGCAAACAGGAGGCCTCAGCTGGCTCCATTCATGGTCAGAAACTGGAATTTCCTTTTGCTAATTACTGGCTTAAACGCGTTTTGATTTAGGAATTTCCTCCTAACCATATTTTCAAACCTAAACTTTACCAACTGTTAATTTTGGACGCCCACTATAAATTTAAGTGATCTTTTTATAGTTTCAAATATCTGCAACTGTATGCATTTTCAAAAGTTTTTTAAATTAATTAATTAATTTAGAGACCAAGTCTTGCTCTGTCGCCAGGTTGAAGTGCAGTGACGCGATCTCGGCTCACTGCAACCTGCGCCTCCTGGGTTCAAGTGATTCTCCTGCCTCAGCCTCCCAAGTAGCTTGGACTATAGGCATGTGCCACCATGCTCAGATAATTTTTGTATTTTTAGTAGAGACGGGGTTTCATCATGTTGGCCAGAATGGTCTCAATCTCTTGACGTCGTGATCCACTCACCTCAGCCTCCCAAAGTGCTGGGATTACAGGCGCGAGCCACCGCACCCGGCCCCAAGTTTCATTTTTTATGGACGTACTGAATGTATGATCATGTAATGTTACACTTTTAGCACATCTTGAGGCTGTGAGAACTGAATT